CCTGCAGCTCCTCGTGGCCGGCCAGCCCCAGCCCTCCTGCTGCTCTGCATGCAGGGAGGGCAGGAGGAACCACCCCACACAGCGCAGCTGTGCACGTAGCCCCTCCAGCAAGCTCTGTTTCTTTTGCCAAAAGCCATATATAATACTATTAGCACTTATATTTTCCTTGCCAGGCTGGGAAGCCCTTGCTGCCATGGGCTTTACTTACCCCCATGATGAAAACCTATCACAGACTGCAAAAGACAGAAGCAGCTCTGCAGTTTGGTCCCTTCCCTTCATCTTTCTTACTGTGTTTTATAGGACTTGATCTGGTGCCACATCCTGTGACCCAGCTGCCAACTGTCCCAATTTGTTCCTTCCCTCTTTTGCCATTTCTCCCAGCTCCAACCCGCTCATTTCCATTTGTGCCTCCTGCTGCCTGTCCCGCTCCTCTCCCGCGGGACCCGATGCCTGCGGAAGAGCAGGGCAAGGCAGTGGTCAGGGCGCAGTGTCTGCCTGCATCTGTGCGGCTGCGCATCCCCGGAGACCCTGGAGGAGCCAGGAATTTCTTCCTGCCCCCAACTACCAACAGCCCTTTTTGGAGGGGGATCCAACAGCTGTTTGGATGCCTGCAGCAAGTCTCATCATCAGCTTAGCATGGGAAGCAGAAACCAATAACAGAGCTAGACTGAGGGCGAATCTGGGGAGGCAGAATCCGGCTGGTGCATGCCGTGCCTGCCTGAAACACTATCGGATCCGCAGGCACCACAGCCACCCAGCCCAGAGCTGCTTGGGCTCCCCGACGGGCTCTGCAGCAGCCACTGCCTCCCTGGGCGCCTGCTTGGGCTGCGGGATCGCTGCAGTGCCCAGGCTCAGCAACAGGAGCTGCTCTCTTGGCAGCTTTGGGGAGGCTTCCAGGGCCGTGTGGCACTTTGGATGCTGCCTGACATGCAAGCCTATGTCAGGGCTGCATGCAATGAACCTCAAGAAACTAAAGACAGCAGAAAAAGCAGCAATTCTGCTCCCCAAAGCTGCCAAGCGATGCTACTGCTACAGCACTGGGTGACGCTGGCCCTTGGACCCAGGCGCATCTTTGCAGCGGGCAATGAACTGGTACCTCTGGGTTTGACCCAGCCACCTCTCAAAAGACAGAAATGCCAGGAACCCCCCGGGACAGCGCGGCGCTTGCAGGACCTGCTGCATAGTTGAGAGCCAGGGAGGGTTCGCGGGGCGAGAGGCCGCGCAGCATGTCCGCGCGCTGCGCCATGGCCGTGGCGGCGGCGTTGTGGTGCATCTGCTGCGACGTGATGTAGTCGTTGATGATGGTCTGCCGGTTCTCCATGGCGGCTGTGTCCGGGTACCCCCGGATGAGGTACGGGGGGTAGAGGTGGGGGTACGTGGGGCTCGGAGCCAGGTGCCTCGGCAGGTAGTAAGCAGCAGCTGGGAGAGACAAAAGAGGCAGAAACAAAAGTGGGTTTCCCGAGGGATCAGCTTGTGGGGGGCAGCAGGCAGGGCTGCACGCGGGGGAAACGTGGTGCCTGCCCGTGCTTGCGGGGGACACGTTTGGAGATGTCAGATGCCTGATTCAGCACATGCAGAGCCCGACCACCTGGCCTCGGCTGGCAGGCCCGGCCTTGGGGAACATCAGCTTTCACCAGCTCGCAGAGCAGGAAGCCAGAAGGGCTTTTCTTTTTGCTGTCTCAGGGCCTTCAGCTGCACAGCTGGCAGGGGCTCAGCACGCGCCACAGACACCAGTGAGGACACAGGCAGCGGGGTGAGCTGGGCACTGCCCACGCAGCTCCGGCGGGAGCCCCAGCTGGAGCCCAGCCTGGTTTGGATGAGCCTCCCGGCGCTGCAGACCGCTGCGAAGCGTTTGGCTGTGCCTCATTGCAGAGCTTATAACAGAGAAGGGCCAAACCGGGCCCCTGTTACAGCAATAAAAATCCAAACTATCTCCTGCGGGCAACAGGATAAAGCAGGTACTAAAGCCAGATCCTCCACGACTGAACCCAAAGCAGTGTTGGCGCAACCTCAGCCTTTTGGAGCTTTGCACGTAAAAGAGCTATCCCAAACCCAGCCTAACCTGCCATGGAAAGTACCTGCTTCCAGTTGGATTCCCCTGGGGATGGCGGCGGGGTCGAAGGCCAGCGGGATGTGGCCGCGGTAGAGGTCGACGCCGCTCACGCCGCGCAGCAGGTGCTCGTAGGGGGAGATGGGGTGGTGGTGCTCGGGCACCGGGGCGTGCGGGGACTTGGAGTTGCTGAGCTCTCGTGACGTCGGGGGGATCTTCCTGTCCTGGGACACCGGCTTCCCGGCAGTGATGCTCCCTGCAGCAAGCAGAAGGGAATGAATCAGAGGAGCCGAGTCCACTGGCCTTGGGGGGACCTTTGGCATCCTGCCTCGCCTGCCACCTCCCAGGAGACCACACCAGAGGGGCTGGGCAGAGGGACAGGGCACAATGCGCCAAGCAACTCCATCTTTGCAAGCAGCAGCACTGAGAATGTCACTTGCACAAGGGGAGGGACAGACAGCAACCGACCTGTCCCCTTGTCCCTGGTGCAGGTGACACATGGTCTAGCGTGAAGCGCAGCCACAGTGCCGGCCGGAGCCATAGAGGCTGGAAGCACCGCCGCTGGGTGGCAGGTTTTGCTTTTTGA